CCCCACGGCACCCAGCACGCAGCTCACCATGATGGGGCGGAGGGCCGATCGCGCATGCGCGGCCTCCTCACACCGGCCGGGCTCCGGCCGTGCTGGGATAAACCACTGACCACGGGGGGGAAAGGGAGGCTGTGTGCAGCTTGGTTGTTCTCAGTGACGACAAAGGCAGTATCAGGAATTTTATCAGCCTGGTTAAGGAATATAAATGCGAAAGCGTCTCTCTGAATGCGCAAAGAGAGCTCCTCCGCCACCCTCCGCACCCACGCTTGCATGGCACCCCCCGCAATGCTGTGCATAATGGTTCCGCCCGCCAGCGGAGGGCAAGGGCAAGGCGTGTGCGCAGCCGCCAGCCCCGCGCAGTGAACAGGGTGGGCGAGGAGGCGAGGGCGTGACTCGTTCCGCGCGCGCGCGCGGCTCTCCCGGTCCCCAGATGAACTGGTAGCGGTGCCAGGGAGGGCTCCTGCACAGGGGCGCGCACCAACGCACGCTCTTTGCCGCGAAACAAGTGCGCTTGGGGTTTTAGGGCTCCTGGGTAGAACGGTTTTGTTACGTTTCAAAGAAAGTTTAAACCTGAAAAGGGGAGGAATTTCTTCTGTGTGCCTGTCGACAATTTAAAAAATTATAGCTTTTGGGATAACATTCATAATTAAGAAACAACTACCAAGTAACTGTTCTATATGCTATGAGTGTGTATCTAACCACACAAATATATGTATGTCTTAAAACAGTAATGAGCTTTAATCATGTTTGAGTGAATTTCAGTATTTTTTTCAGTAGGTGTCACTAAAGCTCCAAAATAATACACATTTTCCCTTTTATTGTTTTCTTAAGTCTTGAAACTTTAAGATGAGGTTCACCATGTTAATCCTGAAGAAATGGATGAGATCATCTGATCTCCATCAATGACTTCTGTGCTCAGGGGATTCAAGTTATCCCTGCTTATTTCTGAGAAAAAGCCTAAAGCCTCCTTTTCCCTTGCTTCTTAAAAATACCTGGTGGCTGTTTTAATTCGTAGCCCACAGAGCCTGGGGAGCTCCCAGCCCCCAAACTGCGTGCTGGGATTGGGTTTGCAGCCCTGCATCGAGCAGGATTAATTCCCTGCGGGTAGCACTCTGTGCTGCACAGCCAGTGACAGAGCTGGGCTGCCTTTAGCTGGGTAACCTGCATGGTGGCACTGGTATAGTCAAGCTGTTACAGACAGGTTGTGCTCAGAGTTTCTCTGAGGGGTTGCAAAGGAAATTAGGCCTCGTCGCTCCCCAGACCCCTGCACTAACCACACAGGGTGCAAGGTACTGCTCCTTGGACTCGGTGGGAAGATGGTTCTCTCTCACACTGAAGAATGGACAATCCCCTACCCAACAGCAGCAATGCCCTCATTCCCTATATTCAACATCTCTGTTGCCTATATTTTACATTTCCCTGTATTTTCACATCTCATTTAACATCTCATTTAACATTCCAAGTGCAAGGTCCTGCACCTGGGGAGAAATAACCCCAGACACCAGTACAGGCTGGGTTCTGCAGAGAGGGACTTGGGTGTCATGGTGAACAACAAGTGGACCATAAGGCAGCAGTGTGCCCTCGAGGCCAAGAAGGCCAATGGGATCCTGGGGTGCATTAAGAAGAG